CCTCCTGCCTCAGCCTCCCAAGCTGCTGGGATTACAAGTGCCAAGCTATGAAGTGTCTCTTGATCATGCCCCAGACACCTAGTAAGGGACCCTACTGCTCCCTAGGCATTCTGGGTCCCAGCCTTCCCTGCCTCCGTGAGACCTGCTGAAATCGGCAAAAAAAAAAAAAAAAAAAAATCTTTACCAAAACACCAGATTTTTGCCTTTGGATATTTTTGGATATTACTTTCAAAACTTTTCTGAAGTCCAACATCAGGGCTGTGAACTTCCCATTGATAGGTGTCTCGGTCTGTGACAAAGCACCACAGACAGGGTGGCTTCAACAACAAGATTGTATTTTCTCACACTCTGTGGAGGCTGCGTCCAAGATCCAGGTGTCAGCGGCCTCTGAGCTTGGCTTGCAGGATGCTGTCCTCTCCCTGTCTCCCTTAGTCTGTGCCTGTGCACCCAGATCTCTTCTTCTAAGGACACCAGTCATTCTGGAGTAGGGCCCACCCTAATGAGCTCCTCCTAACTTGACCATCTCTTTAAAAAGCCCCTCTCCAAGGATGGTTACCTTCCGAGGCACTGAGAGTTAGGTTAGGACTTTAACATATGAATTAGGCGGGACATAACTCAGCCCAGGACAGTGGGGTAAGACTTGGAAGATTAAAAAAGATCACTTCCATCCTTTCCAGGTGTAGCAGGTGATCTAGGTACAATAAGGGTGAATGTGGCGAGAGGAGGGCCAAACCATTGAAAGTGGGTCCCACACCCCAGAACTGCCTTTTCATATGTCCCATAGGCTGGGAGGAAGGCAGAGGAAGTCAAAGAAGCCACCCGAGGCTCACTCCTAGACGGGGTAAGCAAACAGCATTTAAGGCTCACTCTCCCCAGAGCCAGCTTCCTGCCGTTTTTTTTTGTTTGATACGTAATCCACAGCTGGTCCCAGAAATTCCACCAAGTCAGTACACACCCTGGACACAGAGGAAATGAAAGAGCAGACGGTGTGTTTGTGTTTGATGATCTTTGGAAGGGCTGAGAGATGGAAATGATTTCATTCTCCAGGCAGGGCTCTGATAGGGAACTAAACGGCACACTGGTTGAAACAAACCAAATAGCCTTATCTTATTCTTGATTCATGGGTTTCTGTTTCTTCAGATCTCTTTAGAGGCCCGACACTGTGAACTGTGGTTCTTAGAGATACTGCTTCCTTCCTTCCTTCCTTATCCTGCCTTGGGCATGTTGCTTCTTGGACATATGGGACCTGGATTAAATAATAATTTTTGTTAATGAATTTATATACAAATGAATACACATTATTTATTAGTATATTGTGTTTGAAATAACCCAGTCACACACACACACACACACACACACACAAAAGACAAATATTGTGTGATTCCAATTACATAAAGGAACCTAGAGTAGTCAAATTCATAGACTCTTAGGAGGCTGAGGCAGGAGGATCAGAAGTTCAAGGCCAGCCTCAACAAGTTGGTGAGGCCCTAAGCAACTTCACAAGACCCTGTCTGTAAATAAAATATTTTTTTTAAAAAAAGGAGTGGAGATGTAGCTCAGTAGTTAAGTGGCCCTGAATTCAATTCCTGGT